GAGAGAGAGAGAGAGAGAGAGAGAGAGAGAGAGAGAGAGAGAGAGAGAGGAGGAGGAGGAGGAGGAGGAGGAGGAGGAGGATTGAGGGAGGAGGAAGAGGAGGAGTTTCTCACAAGTTCCGCTGGATCCAAGAAGGCTCAGGTAGAAGGCATGCTCGCGCACCTGCGGGTTGTCGCTGCGAAGAAGCTCCTGGGAGATAGTGTGAGAGAGGGAGGAGGCGAGAGAGGTGGAGGAGACCTGCAGCTGCGGGACCAGGGAGAAGATTGAGCGTTGGTGGGCAGCTCCTATGATCCGAATGTTTCTGAAACACAGAACATGAGACAGAGGGAGAGGGAGAGGAGCGACTCACTCCAACGCAAGAGGAGCCATGTGGTTGATGTGTTCTAGTCGATCGTCGAAGATCTTCTTTCTTTCTTGAGTGAGACTTCCCCTGAAACGACAAGAAGCCATGATCATCTGAGTGAGTGAGGAGGAGGAGGAAGGAAGATATTTCACCTTCCTGCCAGCTCCTGTTTTGTCTTTCAAGCTCATTGGCTTCCTTGAGGGCTCGCTCGACGTAGAGCAGGATGAAACTACCGATACGTTCTCACAATCTCCTCCCTTCCTCCCCTCCCCTCCTCCCCTCCCCTCCCCTCCCTTCCTCTCCTCCTCTCCTCTTCCCCCTGCTCTGCTCTGCCACTCGTCACCTTGACAAGTCGTCAGCAGTCACAGGATCGCTCATTCCAAGTACTCCAAGCAGAGCTATCAGCTACACCTAGAGTGAGCTTCCTCCTCCTCCTCCTCCTCCTCCTCCTCACCTTGTCGTGATCTTGCGGCATCACTTTCAACGTGTCTTTGATGTCATCGATGATTCCTATCACCTTCTCATTCTCGTCGCCTCTCTCCCCCCCTTCTCTCTCTCTCCTACCCAGCATGGGCCTGGGGTCTTTCTTGGCGATCTCGTACAGGGCCTGCAGACAAGTCTCAGCCTCCTCTTGTCACTTCTACCGTCACCTCAGCGATGCTCCCGCACGTCACTTCATCCTTCAGTCCTCCTGCAAGTCTGCCACCTCCCCTCAGCACATCCCTTTACTCTCCTTTCTCCTCCTCCCCGCTCCTCTGTCCCCCTCTCTCTCTCCTCCTCCTCCTCCTCCTCCCTCCCTCCCTCTCTCTCTCTCTCCTCTCTCTCTCTCTCTCTCTCTTCTTCTTCTTCTTCATCTCCTTGTCCCTCCTCTCACCTCCCCACGTAGGGCTGAAGGATCGCAAAGTTGTGTTTTGCCATGTTACGAAAAAGAAGCGCAAGCGCTGCCCGCTGCTCGTCGCGTTTGGAGGAGGAGGAAGAAGAGGAGGAGACCCGTCCTTCGTACATGTCGAACAGCCACTCGAGGTGCTCCTCCCACATCCCTTGTGCGTCCGGTTGGATCTCGAACATGTGGGCAAGGGCCTGATAGTCGCGTCAAGGGAGAAGGAGAAGAGCTGGGAGAGGGGAGCAGGAGCAGGAGAAGGAGAAGGAGAAGGAGACCGGGAGGAGAACAAGGGAGCCGTCTTTCAGGGCATGGATCATGCGCTCCGTCTCTGACTCAAGCGACTGCGGGGAGTAGTGATGGCAGCTCTCAAGCAGGGAAGCGGCTGAAAACTTCACTGAGGGTTCACATTCAGCGATGATGACGATATGCAGGAGAAGGAGGAAGTGGCAGGGAGGTGGTGAGGAGCATAGAAACCTCCTGAGTGCTTCTTGTCCAGGTAGCTGGCGAGGACGGGAACAGCTCGGAGGAACTGGAGGAGGAGGAGAGTCAGCGGAGGAGGAGGAGAGAGGAAGGAGCAAGCGACCTGCTCCTTGCGGGTTGACATTTGAGGGCTCCAAAGAGAGAGGAGGATCATGACGACGGTAGGGAGGCGCTTGGAGTACTCGGAGAGGAGGGAGTCGAAGGAGGAGAGACGCTCGAGGGAGTGGAAGAGAGGAGTGAAGAAAGTCTCCCCGAGGTTGGGGAAGAAGCTTCGGAGATCTCCGAGACCCTGCGCTATCCGCAGTGCGCACAACAACTCATCGGATTCTTCTCGCCCTCGCTGCAGCTCCTTGCTCTCTGCTGTCTGAGACGCAGCTGGCGCACTCCGGTCACTCTTCTTGAGGTATTCTTCCCCGCCAACAGCCTCTTCTCCTCTCTTCACCAGGATCGCCAGGAGCTCCGGCGTTCGCTTCATCACCCGCTCCGCCATGGTCTCTCCGATAGGCCTTCCTCTCCCAATCGCTGCATGCAGAGACGCCGCAGCTTCTTCGAGAGCTTCGCCTTCCGCAGCTGCGAGTTCTTCCAGCACAAGTCTTATCTCCTCCTCCTCTCCCTCCCCATCCTCCTCCTCCTCCCCATGCCCAGATCTTTCCCGCCATGCCATCACCGCTGTTTAGAATAGTCCAGATTCCAGTTACCTTAAGAGCTATCGAGCTAAAATTGCGACGTTTGGATCTAAAACCAAAGAAATTACTGTTAAATTTAAGAGAAATTGTGCTAATGTAGAAGAAATGTGTTAACTTTTTGAAACTCTTTTTAAAACAAAACTTGGAGGCGAAGGGATGAAAATGCTGATGCTGATGCTCATGCTGATATGAAGGAGGAGGAGGAGGAAGAGGAGGAGGAGATGATGATGATGATGGAGATGATGATGATGATGATGATGATGATGATGATGATGATGATGATGGAGATGGAGATGGAGATGATGATGGTA